GGGTGTTTCCTTTTGGGTTTGGAGACTGCCCCCAGGTTCTAGACTTGCTTTGCTGCCAGATGGGACAAGCAGGGGACAGGCGGGGGTGGCAGGGAAGAGGGGCTGTGGGCAGGGGGTAGGGAGGGTAGGGGTGTGGGGCTGGAGTCCAGAGTTCATTGCAGAGCCCCTGCTGGGCCTGGTCCCAGGCTGTTCTGGGGTGGGCTCTGTGCCAGTGCTGAGTGGGAGTGGCAGGAGAGAAGCTGGGGGAACTGGGCCCTACCAGTCATCCCAACTGAACCAGGGCAATGCTGGCCACCTCATCCTGGTCCAGGTCTGCTCCCGGGTCCTTTGCCCTGGACAGGGAGGAAGAGGCCTCTGTGTCAAGGCCCAGTCCCTGCCTCTCACCTTGACCTTGGGCAAGCCACTTCCTTCTTTGGGCCTCAGCCCCTCCATCCCTACCCCCTCCCCCTGCTGGTGGGCACCACAGATAGATCCATTCATTCAACAGACATTCACTGAGTGCCAGGTGTTTGGGAAAAGCAAAGGGCAGGTGTGATGGTGCTGTTCAAGGACTGGTTAGGGTGCTCAAGCTCCAGGTTACTTTAGGCCAGCCTTCTCCTTTCCTGGATGGGGAAACTGAGGCCCAGAGCTTTGCCCACATCAGATTGGGGCAGGCCGGTTTTCTGGCTCTGAGCCCCCAGCTCTTTGCATCACTGCCCAGTTCACGATGGCGGAAGGAGTTAGCTCAGCGTGGGGGCCGTGGGAAATAGTGCAGTGGTCCGCTGCAGGAGGCCTTCTCCAGCTCTAGGACTCCCGAGGCTCTGAATGCCAGGTGCCAGAGTAAGTGCTGGGGCCAAAGGTCAGGGGGCAGTGCATATGACACTCTGTGTGCAGGGCCAGGAATCCAGGGTATGTTCAAGAGCTGGTGACATGATGGCATTAGTGAGGACTTGGACCCTGGGTGATCGTGGCAGCTAGGAACACTTCCCTCAGCAGCATGGGGACAGTAGCAGGTCCTCTGCTCAGCTGTCAGGCACCTGCTGCAAGAGTCTGAGGCTGGAGAGGGTGAATCAGGGAAGACTTGGTGCAGGAAGGGGTAGGAGGGGAGTGGCAGCTGGAGGAGAATAGGGGAATGTGGAAGGTTGTGCAGCAGGGTGGGGCACCCAAGAGGTGAGCATCAGGCTCATGGGAGAAAGGGAATCCTGAGAAAGGAGGTGCTGCAGGGGAGAGCTTGAGGACAGGAGCCTCTGTGCAGGACCGGAAGAGGGTGCTTTCTGTGTAGAGCGCCCCACGACTCCCCGGTGCCCTCCAGGTCCTGGTCCAGCCTCCCTCTCGGGCCTCCTCCTCTCCTGAGTGACAGGCAGGTTTGCTGAAGGTCAGCCAGAGCCACCCCAGGCCTCTACAGCATTGGGCCCAGAAAGAGTGTGGGCTTTGGAACGTGGCAGTGAACCCCAGATGTGCTACTTACAAGCTCTGTGACCTTGGCAGGTGACTGAACCTCTCTAAGCCTCAATCTCCCCTTCTGGAAAATGGAGAGACTAGCACCTAATTTGCTGGGGGTGGGGGGGGGACATGAGAATGAATGGAGATGGTGAGCGGGAGGCAGACTGGCCTGTCTGGCCTGCAGAACAAGTTAGGACCTGATGCCCCAACACTTCACCCCATGTCCCAACTGCTTGGGAGCAGCCCTCTGCTCCCCACCCCCCCCCTGCTGCTCTTGTTCCCCCACCGAGGTCCAGGTGCCTTTCATCCTCATTCATCTGTGGGCCCCCAGGACGGAGTGGGGTGGAGGGCCTGGTGTTGGAATGCATAACTGAGTGATGGGGTAAACGAGGCAGAGGGAGGGAAGGGCCAAAGTCCAGAGCCCGCCTTGGCCGCCTCTGCTTGGAGTTGGCAGGTGCTGTTCTGTGGCCTGGTGCTCGTCCTGGGCTGGTGGGAGGGGAGGGCCATGGGCAAGAGCCCCCGGGACTCAGGACATATTCATCGGGTTGTCTTACAGCCTGACTTGGCTGGGAAAGGGCAGCGTTTCCTTCCCTCTGGGGCCTGGGCCTCATCCCTGCTGCTCCTCATAACTCCTGGGTCCCAGGCCTGCTGCCGGTCACGTGCTGTGCCCTGTGTGTATGGTGTTTGACCACAAGTGGGACACATATGCATTGCCTCTACGTCGGGGTGCCGTGGGTGCCCGCCCATGTCCTGCAGGACACTGGCCATGGCCTTTGCTGGCCCCAGGTAGTTCTGGCGGAGTGCCCAGCCCTGCCTGTCTGCCCTGAGGGGCAGTGCTGCCTGGCAGGGCCTGGACTGCTCCCGCCGAGGGCTCAGTGGGTGTGTGGCCCTGTCTGGCTCCCCCGAACCCCATGCCAGATCCTCCCAGGGATTTGGGCGGCCTGGGCCGGGCCCTTCCCTTCCCAGTCCGAGGGCGGGTGTGGGGGCTGCTTGGCGGGCTCGCCTCTGGCTGAGGCCCAGGTGCAGGCAGTGCTTAAAGCCCCACGCACCACCTCCCCCCCCACCCCCGCCAGCAAGCTGGGCAGACAGGAAAATACCAGACATAGTTGTGCAAAGGTGGCTGCAGGCAGGCAGGCAGTAGGGGGTGGAGGCCGTTGAGATGGGGGCCTAGAAGCCACTGGGCCTAAGGGAGTCCTCTGTGCCAGGCCGGCCCCTGCAGCTGGACAGGCATGCATGTCTGTGTGAGTGTGCATGTTCATGTGTGGGCTGGGCCCATGTGTGAGTTGCTCCTCCCTACCTGGTGTCATTGGGGAAGCCAGGACTGGTGAGGGGTGTGGGCGTGGGGGTGGGGGAGCCAGCTGTGGGCCTTCCAGCTTCAGCACTGCTGAAGTATCTGGGTGACCTTGGCAAGCTAAGTTATTGCATGGGGCACCCCCAGCCCAGGGCCAGGAACAAGAATTCTCGGAGCTACGTCTCCTGCGTGCCAGGCACTGGGCCAGGCTCTCCCTATGGGATGTCCCCAATCCCCACCTTGCCCTGTGAGCTGGCACCTTACTGTGGTACCTATGTTTCTGACTAAGGCTCCTAGGGGGCAGCAGGGCCCCATCTGAGGCCCCACAGCCAGAGGCGAGAGCACAGGGGACTGGGGCCAACTAGCCTGGCTCTGGGTAGTGCCATCTAAACATGCCCAAGTGGAGGTTCCTGGCACACACCCTTCTTCAAGTGCTGCCCAGCTGAGGGCTTTCCATTGGACCCCATGGCTGAGGGCTTTCCATTGGACCCCATGGCTGATGGCAGAGAGCTCAGCCCTGGTTGGGTCACCTGGGGCACTTGCCCTCCACCTGGGTGGGGTCTGCCTCCCCCCCCCCCCCAGGGGGACCTGGGGAGGCCCGGGAGGCTGGCTGAGGGCCCATCTTGGGATGGGGGCAGGGCCTGCCTGCAGAGTGAGAGGTTCCCAGGGAAGAACCCCTTGGTCTTACAGGAAGTATGCTGGCCCTGGCCCCTCTCCTGGGACCTGCTGGGCGAGGCCTCAGGATAAACCCCTCCCCTGGGTCCCGGGAGGAGCCCTGCTCCTTCCAGGGTTGCTCAGAGCCTCCAGGGCCTCCCTCCTTTTCTTTGAGCAGTTGGGCTCTAGAAGGTGGCTATGGTCAGCTGTGGCCACTTCCCAGGACAGCTGATGCCTGAGGCTCTGTGAGGGGCACCAGCTTAGTTGTTTAGTTGCACCTTACAATGAAGGCCAGGTGCGCTCAGGTGAGGGTGAGACAGTGGTGTCTGTGGATGCCATGGGGAGGCTCAGTCCTCCCATCCAGCTGTCCTCACAGCTCCAGACTAGCCAAAGCTGGACGTATTGGTGATGGTGACAGTTAATTCAACAAGTTTGACCAAGTACCTACTATGGGCCCAGCATTGTTTTAGTTGCTGAACATTACATAATAATGGGAAGCATTAAGAAATCACTGGATGTGTGCATCACCACCCAAAGCCCAGTGAGGAGTTCTTATTACTATTAGGATCATCCCATTTTAGAGGTGAGGACAATGAGACAGGGAGGTGATCTGCCCTAAGTCACATGGGCAGGAAGTGACAGAACCAAGCTGGAGACCCAGGTGGTCTGACCTGTACTTGGACCCCTGCACTGCTGCCTGCTCAGGAAGGAGGGCGCTGAGAGGATGGGGTCTGCCCCTGCCTGCAGCCCCTGCCGCTGGCTGCCAGGAGGGTGGAGCTCTTGGCCAGAGCAGGGAGGGAGCCGGAGCAGTTCCCAGGAATGTGGGGCCGTTTGCTTTGGCAGCATATCTGCCCTCGGCTCTCCAAGCCTCCCTGTGCCCCCCCCACAAGCTGGCCCCTCCAGCGCCCACCCACTGCCTGCTGCCCCTCCTAGGCTCTGTACCTAGCTCCCACAAACCCCTGGGCAGGGAGGGGGTGCCAAGCGGGAGCCCTTTTTCCTGCCCCTCCCCCCATCCTTGGGCAAAGGAGGGGCTGATAGCGAACTTGGCTTCTGGACTCACCTGGGCTTGAAATCCAGTTCTGCCACAGACAAGCTGTGTGACCTTGGACAGGTCACTTAATCTCCCTGAGCTTCAGTTGTGACATCTGTAAAATGGGGGTGGCCAGCACCTGCCTTAATAGGTGGCTGTTGGTCCTGTTGTCATGTAATATTCACCTGAGGCTTCCAGCCAGCTGGCTCCCCGCCCCAGCGCTCAGTTTCCCCATCCATGAGAACTGCATGTTGATAGCCATGATCCCGGTCACCAAACACCCTGGCACCCACAGAGCACAGGGGAGGCTGGGGGCTTACTTCCTCTTTCCATGCGATACCAAGAAAGCCACTGGACTTTTGAGAGGTGCATTTTGGACCCTTGTCCCCAGGTTCTAGGCTAGATGGGCCATGGCTGACCAAAGGGCAGTTTCAGGACCACAGGGGCAATAAGGGGTGTCCCTTACATGGCCCAATGCTGCTGTGGGGTGGGCAGGGAGAAGCCCCCATCTTACAGAGAACCCTGTCCTCTCTGCTTCTGGCCAGGAGTCCCTTAGTGCTTCTCAGGGTGCGTATGCCTAGCTGTCCCCCTCCACCTACGCAGGCTGCCCTTCAAGCTCCGGGCCAGCCGGCTGACCTCCCCCAAGCAGGGAAGGAGCGGCTTTATCCAGAGCGGAGTCCAGCCCACTCCCGTGAGTCTGGTGAGCTCGAGCCTCAGTTTCCCCATGTTTACGACAGGGGCAACGACGGCCTCTACTCCCAGTAGGGGTTTTAGAGGGTTCGGAGAATTCCTGGACAGCTGGTGCCTGGCACACGGTAGGTGTTGGACTCATGCTGAACACCCCCCGCCCCCGCCCCCGGGATGTGTCCCACCCCACGCCACAGCGCCCCCGCGGAGTCCGTGCGCGGTCCGGGCCTCGGTTTCCCCCGCCCCCCGCGCTCGCCCCGCCCGCCGCGGGTGGGCTTGGCCGCCAGGTAGGCCGGGCCGGGCGGGGGCGCTCTCCGGGCGCTGCAGCTGGGGGCCGTCTGCGCGCGGCGGGGCGGGCGCACAATAGCGGCCATTGTCTGGGCCCTGCCGGCGGGGCGGGCGCGGCGGGCGGGGGCCGGGCCCCGGGGTGGGGGCACGGGGGGGGAGCTAGCGCGGCCCACCCTCGGGGTGACCCCCGTCCCCCAGGGACGCCGGCCGGGGTCCCGCGCCCGCCCCGCCGCCCCGGTGGTCCCCGCGCCGCCCCGCTTCCTCCCGCTCCCCGGGCTCTAATTAGTTCCTTTCGCAGCTGGAGCAGCGGCGCGGCGCCCGGCAGCGCGACCACCTCGGCGCCGCCTCCCCGCCCGCCTGCGGCGAGGGGGTCGCGCCCGACCGCCGCCCAGCCGCGGGCTCCGCCGCCGGTTCGGTTCCGAAGCTCGCCTGCCCCCTCGGAGCCGTGCGCGTCACCCTTCGGAGCGGCCCTGGCCTCCTCTGGGAAATGCGACGCCCGAGTGTCCCCCTCCCGCCCGCCCCAGCTCGCCTGGGTGTCAGGAGCGTCGAATCGGGTGCCGGCGTGGCTGGCCTCCGCAAGTTCCAGGGCCTGCCGCTTTCCCCTCTGGGCCTCCGAAGCCCAGGCGAGTGCCACCCTGGCTGTCGCCTTCCCGGACCCTTCACCCGGCCCCTGAACAAGGGGAACAAAGAGCAGAGCCCCGCTTCAGAAATGGCCTCTGCAAGCTGGGGGGTGGGGAGTGGAAGGAGACACCTTGAAGTTGGCCAAGGTCAGGACAGGAGAGAGGTCATGGGGTCTTTCCCCTGGTGTGGGGCCACCTTCGGGAGGACAATTCTGGGTGGGGCCAGCCTGGGGTTGGGGGATGCTGAGAGCTTTTGGGGTGGCTTCTTCTTCCTTTGGGGGGGGCCTGGGCCTCTGGACTGTGTTCTGGGTTCTTCCATCAGAATGAATCCCTGCCTCCCTGGGCAGAACCCAGTGACAGGAAGTGTGTGGGGGGGGGCGCTGGGCCTGCTGATTAAGGAGGGTGCTGGAGTCCCTACTCCCACCTGGGTACTGTGCCTGCCCTGTCCCACGAAACAGGCTCCTCTCGCGGGGCCTTCCTAGTTGCATGTTGAGGCATGTCTGCTGCAGGTCTTCAGCACAAGGTGACCCAGGGTCTAGGGCTCCTCCCTGGACCCCATCTGGCCTGGGGTGGAGGAGAGTAGGGCAGATGCCAAAGAATGTTACCTGGACAGGGTTGCCAATCAAAGTGTCAGTTTGAATTCCCAGTTCCCAGACCATCCTGGCCGCACTGTGCCCTTGTCTGGAAGGTCTGGTTGGGGGTGGGGGATGGAGGCTGTGGGGAGGCCTGTGGCCCTAGGCCAGCTGAAGGACCAGGCCACCAGCCCTTCCTGGCTCCTGAATTCTTAATCAGCATAAATATTTACTTCCTTCCTCTCCTCCTAGGCTCCCAGCACAGAGGAGCTTCAGGGAGGTTGGACTGGGCCTGTGTCTAAAAATAAACAGGTGGAGGGACAGGCAGACAGACAGACATAACTGGGGGAGGGGGGTGAGGCAGAGGGCAGCTCCCTGCCCAGCCAGAGGGAGAGTGGAAGGGGCCCAGGTCCATCCATCACTGTCACCCACCCACCTGCCTGCCTTGGGTCTGGAACTCCTAAAGGGCAGGGTGGCAGCCTGATCCCACTTGCATCACTGGGAGCCCCTGGCCCATGCGTGGCCTGGGAGGCAAATCCAAACAGATCTGACTGCTCCCACCTGATGCAATTTAACTGGGACAAGTCAGGTCACAGACTGGGTCCCACGACCAAGTGTAGCTGCCCCTCCTTGGGCTCCGATATTTAGCCATGTGCTGGTAGGGTCTTGGGATGTCCTCGAAGCAGAGGGTCCTAACTGAGGTAGGGGACTGCCTTGTTCCCTGTGTGCTTGAGGGTCTTGGCAGAAGGGGAGCTTGTCAGGGGAGATGGATGGGCCAGGACTTGGGACCAGAGAAAATTGTTTATAATGTTGCTGAGGTGCATGGCCTGGAAAAAAGATGAGTGGGGACATAAGGGCTGTCTTCCTCCTTCCGGCTCCATGAAGCAGCTCTGCATACATGGGAGGCATGTGCATGTGCACACACACACACGCATGCACAGCTGAGATGTATGATCATTTACCATGTGGTGGTTACAGGGGTGTTCTGTTTTAAATTATGAAAACGTGGATTTGGTGAATGACATGGAGTATCTAATGGTGTTGGCTTGTTTAGCGGGTAGATTTTCAGGGTGTAATCATCTCAATTAGCAAATGCAAGGATACACTTCGACCACACGTGGAAAGGTTGCCCTTGGAAAAAGTCTGAGTTTGGAATAGAGAGTTGACCTTGCTCTTGGGTCATTTGAATGTGAAGAAACTCACACCATTGAGAGGTTTTAAGGAACCATGAAAATACCAGCATGAGAACTTGTAATAAAAGAATATCATCACCAGTGGAAAAAAAAACGATGTATACATATATTTCATTAACCACCAGACAGAGCTGGTCCACTTCCCTCCAACCCTGTCCCTGGCCGGCCTGGCTGGGCCACAGTCTCCAGCTGCCCCCTGGTGGCAGCCCAGACCCCTCTGGCTCCCCGGGCCTATGGGCACCTCTTTTCTGGACCTCACCTGGGAGGCAAGGCATCCTGCCCGCACCCCCATCCCTTGGGCCAGGCTCTGCACAGCTCTCCTGAGGCAAGGTCTCAGCCTCCTTCCCTTGTAGGTGACCACAGCTGCCTGGGAGGCCCCACACAGCGAGCCCTTGACGATCAGTAGCTGAGAACCACTAATAGCTAGACACTCATTGCTCTTATGGTCTGGTTCTGGGTCCTCAGGCTCAAACCAGGCATGTGATCCTGAGCATGACTTTCCACTTGGTCAGAAATGACCTTTGGGACCTGGCTGACCAGTTCCAGGGAGACCTGGCTTTGAAGTTGGTAGCTCTGCCACTTCTTAGCTCTGTGACCTGAGGCAGTGTCTCTAAAACTCAGTTTCATGGCAAAATGGACTCTCTGAGCTTTGCCTCCAGAAAAGACTTGAGGGTAGTGGATGTGGAAACTCTTAGTAGGTGTTTGGCGCTCCTCATGAGACCCAGGGCCAGAGCCAGAGGGTCCCCCTTCCCAAGAAGACAGCGCTTACGCTGCCGCACATCCACGCCTCCCTCCCCTGGCGGCTTCCGTGGGTGCAGCCTGAGAAGCCTGAAGTCACAGTGTCACAGCACAGCTCCTGTCCTCCCCCAGGTTCCTGCCTGAATACCAGCTTGGGAGCTCCCCACTGCCTGCAGCCACCTCCGACCAGCCCCTCATCACCATGCACTCCTTGGACGAGCCGCTCGACCTGAAGCTGAGCATCACCAAGCTCCGGGCGGCGAGAGAAAAGCGGGAGAGGACGCTGAGTGTGGTCCGGCACCGGGCTCTGCACAGGGACCTCGGCCTGGTGGATGACAGCCCCACCCCGGGCTCTCCAGGCTCCCCGCCCTCAGGTACAGCGCCCCCAGGCAGGGTGGGGGTGGGTGTCTCGGGCCCTGATGGAGCCGTGGCAATGGGAAGAACGTCCAAGGTGTGTCCCCCAGGATGTAAGCAGGCCCGTTGCAGCTTGCAGCTTAGAGCTAGAGCTCTGTCCATTTATCCTCCCAGCAGTTTGTCTCTGGAGGTGACATTGTCCCTGGGGGGAGGCAACTGACCTGCCCCGTTCATGAAGCTGGCCCAGCAGAGCCAGGATTCAAACTAGGCCTTGGGGAGGACATGGAGGCACTGGTAAGGGGGAGCAGGGGATTCACAAGCAGTGACCGAGGCCCTGTGACCCAACTCCTGGGCTTTGAGGCAGAGTGGCTGGTCAGTCAGGTCCGTGCAGACTGGGGACTGAGCCCAGCAAGTGCCTCTCAGCAGGTGCTTGGGGCTCAGGACTTCCACTCTGCCTCCTCTGGACCCTGAAAACCAGACCCACCATGTCTGAGCTAGAAGGCTCTGGAAGCAGCCCAGCCCAAACCCCTCCTGTTACAGAAGGGCACAGCGAGGCAGGAAGGGCCCAGGAAAAGTCAGAAAGATCCCTACCTGCCAGGGTGACAGCAAGCCAGGAGCCTGGCTTCAAGTTCCTGTTCAGTGGGTACTTTCCACTTCCTGTCCCACCTAACGGCTGAGCTCTCATGGTGGCAAAGGTCCCATTTGTCACTTGTGCAGGCTGCTGCTCAGATGCTTGGGGTCCCAGGGTGGTCTGGGGGTGTGGCTGTTATCTGCTTTCAGGATTTGGAGGACTCCCAGCTCCAGCACCCCTTAATAGTGCTTCTCCCTTAGGCTTCCTGCTGAACCCCAAGTTCCCCGAGAAGGTAGAGGGACGCTTTTCGGCGGCCCCCCTGGTGGACCTCAGCTTGTCACCGCCGTCCGGGCTGGATTCCCCCAATGGCAGCAGCTCGCTGTCCCCTGAGCGCCAGGGCAACGGGGACCTGCCTGCGGTGCCCACTGCCCCGGTAAGGAGGGAGTGTGGGTTCTGGAAAAGTGGTCTATTGGTTTCCTGGAAAAGACCATAAACTGGGTGGCTTAGAACAACAGAAATGTATTATTCTGTCACAGTTCTGGAAGCGAAAGTCTGAAGTCAAGGTATTGATGGGGCTGTGCTCCCTCCGAAGGCTCTGGGCAAGAATCTTTCCTTGCTTCTTTCCAGCTTCTGGTGGCTCCCGGCGTCCCCTGCCTCGTAGCAGTGTCATTCCAATCTCTGTCCCTCGTGCCACCTTGCCTTCCTGCGTCTGTTGTGTGTCTCTGAGTTCAAATCTCCCTTTCTCTTATGAAGACATCCGTCACCGGATTTAGTTCTCCCCAACCCCGTATGACCTTTTTTTTTTTTTTTGAGAGGGAGAGAGAGAGCAGGGGTGGGGGCAGAGGGAGAGGCGGCTTTTTTTTTTTTTAATTTATTTATTTGACAGAGAGAGACACAGCGAGAGAGGGAACACAAGCAGGGGGAGTGGGAGAGGGAGAAGCAGGCTTCCCGCCGAGCAGGGAGCCCGATGTGGGGCTCGATCCCAGGACCCTGGGATCATGACCTGAGCCGAAGGCAGACGCTTAACGACTGAGCCACCCAGGCGCCCGGGAGAGAATCTTAAAAGCAGGCTCTATGCCCAGTGTGGAGCCGAAGCTGGGTTTGATCTCACGACCCTGAGATCATGACCTGAGCTGAAATCAAGAGTCAGACACTTAGCCGACTGAGCCACGCAGGCACTCCCAGTATGACTTCTTCTTAACTTGATTGCATGTGCAGAGACTGTATTGCCAACTAGGGTCATACCCACAGGTACAAGGGGTTGGGACTGGGACAACTCAACCTGCCACAGGAGACAGAGGGGATGTAGGCCTCCTGGCCCAGCTGGGAGCACTGACCCGCTCTGCCTTTCCCCTGTCCCCCAGGACTTCCAGCCACTGCGCTATCTAGATGGCGTCCCCAGTTCCTTCCAGTTCTTCCTGCCTCTGGGCTCCGGGGGGGCCCTGCACCTGCCTGCTTCCTCCTTCCTCACCGCCCCCAAGGACAAGTGCCTCTCATCAGAGCTCCCCCTGCCCAAACAGCTGGTGTGTCGCTGGGCCAAGGTGAGTGGGGGGCCAGGAACAGGGGGGCCAGGGCCGGGGTGGATGGCCCCATGCAGACTCAGAATCCTCCCTGGCCCCACAGTGTAACCAGCTCTTCGAGCTCCTGCAAGACCTGGTGGATCATGTCAACGACTACCATGTCAAGCCTGAGAAGGACGCAGGGTACTGCTGTCACTGGGAGGGCTGTGCCCGCCATGGCCGAGGCTTCAATGCCAGGTGAGGGAGGGCGAGGGGGGGGGGCTGGGGGGGGGCGGGAGGGGGCTCGGGTGTCTGGCGAGCTGTGTCAAGCTCCCCTGTGCCCTCCCTGGAGCAGGTACAAGATGCTCATCCACATCCGCACACACACCAACGAGAAGCCACACCGCTGCCCCACCTGCAGCAAGAGCTTCTCTCGCCTGGAGAATCTGAAGATCCACAACCGCTCGCACACAGGTGAGCAGCTGGCCGGGGGGCTGAGCGGCAGAGAGGTGAGGGACGCGTCCCTTCTCGAGTGCCACTTCTGGGGGGCGGCCCTCAGTATCCACTCTTGGAGCACGGACACATCTCCCTGTATGGCATCAGCACCGTCGTCATGTGATCGACCGACAGATGCCGCCCGTGAGGCGCGCGCTCGCTTCTCACTGTGCTCCGGCACATGGTGGGGCCAGCTCTGGTGACGGAGTCACATACCTAATTTTAAATTTCCTAACTGCAAAAAAAAAAAAAAAAAAAAAAAATCCAAATTGCCACACAATTTGGAATAGGTGAACTGAATTGTAATGAAATATTTTCTTGAATCCAGTATATTAAAAAGGGATCAGTGAGACACTGGAATTAATTTTGTGCGAAGTCTGGAATCAGTCTGGGGAGTATCTTTCCCCTCACTCGCAGCACATGTCAGTGTGGGCCAGCCACACTTCAAAGGCGCACCGAGAGTGGCTACCAGACATTTAGTCAGTCTGGAGGCATTTTGCTGCGCCAGGACCAAATACAGCGCAGCGGGCATTCCTGCAGTGCTCACTGCGGGCCACCTCCCAGCAGGGGCTTCCCGGAAATATGTAAGCAGATCTGTGGTCCTGCCTTTTGAAGTGGTCGCTGTCATCCCCAATCTGGAGCACACGAGTGAGGCCAGAGGCACACAGCCAGGCCAGAGCAGAGCTGGGGGTGACCGAGTGGGCTTCTCAGTGGCTATGCCCTGCTGTCCCCACCTGGGATCAGATCCTGTGCCGGGTGCTGGGAACACCACCCCCACATCGTGGTCCGTGATCTCAGGGGGATCTTCGTCCAGGGTGAGGGGCCTGGGGTGGCCCGGGGTGGGGCTGGGACTAGGAGCCCGGGCTGCGGAGAGGCCCCTCATGCCCCGCTCCGCCCCGCAGGTGAGAAGCCCTATGTCTGCCCCTACGAGGGCTGCAGCAAGCGCTACTCCAACTCGAGCGACCGCTTCAAGCACACGCGCACCCACTATGTAGACAAGCCCTACTACTGCAAGATGCCCGGCTGCCACAAGCGCTACACGGACCCCAGCTCGCTGCGCAAGCACATCAAGGCCCACGGCCACTTCGTGTCTCATGAGCAGCAAGAGCTCCTGCAACTGCGCCCACCCCCCAAACCACCGCTGCCCACCCCTGACGGCGGCCCCTATGTCAGCGGAGCCCAGATCATCATCCCCAACCCTGCTGCCCTTTTTGGAGGCCCCGGCCTGCCTGGCCTGCCCCTGCCCCTGGCCCCTGGCCCCCTTGACCTCAGTGCCCTGGCCTGTGGCAATGGCGGGGGCGGTGGGGGAGCGGGGGCAATGGGCCCCGGGCTGCCGGGCCCCGTCTTGCCCCTCAATCTGGCCAAGAACCCACTGCTGCCCTCACCCTTTGGGGCTGGTGGACTGGGCCTGCCTGTGGTCTCCCTCCTCGCTGGCTCCGCTGGCGGCAAGGCTGAGGGGGAGAAGGGGCGTGGGGCAGTGCCAGCCAGGTCTCTGGGCATGGAGGGCCGCAAGACGCCCCTGGAGAGAACTGAGAACAGCCGCTCCCGGCCAAGCCCTGACGGACTCCCCCTGCTGCCGGGCACCGTGCTGGACCTGTCCACGGGTGTCAACTCAGCAGCCAGCAGCCCAGAGGCACTCGCTCCTGGTTGGGTGGTCATCCCACCGGGCTCCGTGCTGCTCAAGCCAGCCGTGGTGAACTGAACCTGCCTGCAGGACGGCTACCCGCAGCCCAGCTAGCAGCTCCCAGCCCTGCCCCTGACGAACGGAAACTCTTCTGCGAAATAGCAATAATGTCCTCCTGCCCCTGGGGCCTGCCCTGTGTCCCCCAGGCGGACCCAGCCCCAGACAAGCTGGGCAGCAAGGATGGTGCTAGAAGGTCATTGGTGGTGTCCCAGGCTCTGGAGGGGGAGCTGGTCCTGCCAGCCAGGGAGAGCCGTGCTCCTGGGTGCTGAGGCCTCACTCACCTCTGGCCCTCCCCCTGCCCTGTCCTCCACCTAGCCCCCTGTGCCTCCCTCAACCAGTCGCCAGCCTGGGTAGGGCGCCCTCCCTCCCTGCCTTGCCCACCTGCCAGCCATGTCCCCGTCCTGCCTAGCCTCTCTGGGCCCCTACTCTGGGGGCTTCTTGGACCCCTTTCCCTCTGGCCCACCCTCCAGAGGGAGAGCAAGACAGACGCAGGCAAAGCCACAGGAAGAAGCCACCTTATCCCTATGACAAGGTGCCTCCAAACTCAAGAGAGGGAGGCCCGCTCTGCCAGCTGCCCCCCCTGCCACTAGCCCGTCCAAAAACAGCCAGCACTACCTGAGGGTCAGCCCCCTCTCTGGGCCGGATGCTCTCCCAAGTGAGGGGACTGTGACCACTCACCTGCCCCTTCGCTGCTGGGCCTTCTCCCTCTATTTTCAGGGAGCCCTGGGAGTGTGGGCAGTGGAGCCCTGAGTGAGGAGGGGAGATGCCAGGACCCTGGGCCCTCACTTGGTTCAGGGAACAGGTGGGGCAGGGCCTGGCCTGGGGCGGTGCCACTGCACAAGGGACTGTGGTGGCTTGCAGGGTGTCAGGAGGTGGGAGGCTGGCTGGGGACAACCCCAGGCTGGGACACAGCTCCCATTCTGGGGGTGCCAAGTCACAGCCAGCACACAGGGGAGGGAGGGCTCCAGGCCAGTGCTGGGCATGGGAGCTTTCCAGAGGCCATGGACTGAAAGCCCTGGGCTTGGGGGTTGAAGCAAACAACGATGGCCATGGAAGGGCCCAAGCCCTCTCCCTGGGAAGGGGAAGCTGGAGGAAGGAGCCTGGGTTTACGACACGGCTGTCTGCTTTGGTTTTCTCTGCTGAGCCTGTCCTCGAGCGTCCCGACCCCTGCCCGCCACCTCCCCCGTGGCACGGGCCGGAATAAGCTAAGGATGCCGGTGTCCACGTGCCCCACCACCCACTGCCCGGTTCCACCAGGCCCTGGGACCACAGCATTATGCTTCCCCTCACCCTGAGCCCTCACTGTTCCCTCCCTGGAGGTGGCCCGGTGCCATCTGGGAGGTGCTGGCCCCCGCAGTCGGGACTCCTGGCGCCTTGGCCACACGACCAAGCACTCCATTTCCCCTGCTGTAGAACAGGGAGCTGCAGGCCAGCAGTGGGGTCGTCAGCAGCCCTGCAGCCTTCACTGTTGCCTGGACTGCCCCTCTGTCCTAGAGGGGTCACCCTGCCCGGGCCTGCCCCGACAGAGCCTGGCAGTGCTGGCTCTGCCCCTTGAAGGGGCTGTGAGCAGAGCAGGAAGGAGCTGGTCTCCTTTCTTTGGGCCCCACCCAGGACCCAGGCCTTAAGTCCCCAGCTGGGGGGTGAGGGCTCTGAGACTCAAGCCCAGGGAGCAGAGGAACAGGGCACTGGAAGGCGACATTAGCTCAGCATGTGACTCGGTGATAGACCAAGCTCGGAAGGGCTGGTGTATGTGTTGTTGTTGTGGGTTTGTTGTTGCACATTCCAGGATATCAGTATTTTAACAGGTTCTAAGTGCCTTTCTATCGTAGCTTATGTTTTTCCTCCTCTTGGCTCCATTGCTGTTAGCATAGAGTTTAAAAAAGAAAAAAAAAGAGATAAGCTAATGACTATAACAATATATTCCTCCATGTGAGAGGAAGTTTATAAAGAAACAATAAAATGAGTTGCAAAGATGGTTTCTGTCTTGGCTGTGCCATGAGTGGGGCCGCCCTGCTCGAGAGCCCCAACTGTCCTGTGCCTGGTATGGGTTGCCCACCCCCAGAATGCGGCACTCAGAAGCCCCGTTCCGGGGCTTCCTTCCAACCCAGAGGCTGCCACAACTGCCAGGTCTGCTGCTAGGAGGGGGCAGGGTGCTGAGGGGCCAGAGATGGAAGATTCTGGACGAAGCATCATGGGTTCAGGTCCTCACCTTGCCACTACCTGCTGTGACTTTGGTGAGTGCCTCCGCTCTGGGGGAGACACAACTCCCTGGCCTCGGTCCAACAAGAGTCTGGCAAAGGCTTCTCTTTCCCAGCCGCACTGGAGCATTCCATCCAGATTCCAGAGATGCTAGGGGAAAGGCGGCCTGCGGCAGAGCCGGGGCGCAGGGCTCTGTACCCGGTGGGAAGGGTGAGGAAAACCTGAGGACAGTGAGACTGCAGGAGGGGCCTGGTGTGGGGGCCGTGAGCCGGTCCGGGGCAGCTCAGCGGGCAGGGCTGGACTGGCTGGCTCCTGGCCAACCTCACCCACCCCCAGCCCTGCGGGGTATCAAGGGCGCGTTAACAGGGATGCAGTGCCGCTGCCTCCCTCTCCCCGCTGGCAGGAAGAGCAGCCTGCCTGCTGGAAGCTGGATGTGTGCACTGAGAAATGCGGAAAAGACATTTATTACCAAACTATAAATTAAGAGGAGGTGGGCAGGGTGCAGTAGGACGAGCTGAGTGGTCACGTTTTGGGCATCTGTTCCTTCTCTCTGTTCTCCTGGGCCTGGATCCTGAGCTCCTCCTGCAGGCGCTCCCAGGCTCGGACCACCTGGGGACGGAGTTAGAACCAGGCAGGGCAGTTGAGTGGGATGGCCCTCTGCTCTTCCCAGGCTCCGCACGGCAGTGGGCAGGTCTGAGCTAACAGCTTGGGAAACAGAAGTGCCCCCTTTACCAGTGTCCAGCATTCCCAGGGGGACAAGGCCCAGGCACACCACACTGTCCACCAGCTAGTGGTCCTGTTCCCTCAGAGCCATGGCTGCTGGGAGGGCCACTGTCCAGGGTGACATGGGGCCCAAGCCAATTCAGTCCAATCAGTCAGGTCCTGTAGAGCTGAGGCAGCTGGAAGGAGTGGCAGTTTAGGGGGGCCTCCCTGAGGCTGGGGCACCAAGGAAGGGCCCGGCACACCTTCCTGCCTGCCAAGTCCTAACTGCCTAGGAATGAAGGATCCCCAGTGAGAAGAGGCGCCTTGGCTTGCCCCCCCCCCCAGCATCAAAGAGCACTCACCTTGGACTGCAGGTAGAAGGAGCCACCCACGGATTTATCGTTCACCTTGAATAGGTGTTCATAGTTCTGCAGGGGAGGGGAGACGGTGAGAGGGTGTGCGGTCTCGGGGTTACAGAGGCAGGGGAAGCTAGGAAATGACAAAGAAGGAAAGCCAAAGGGTTCAACCCTGATGCCCCGTGTGTCCCACTATGCAACCCCGGAAGCCACTATCACTGCTCAAGGACAGAGAAGTGGACAGGTGCCCACGGGAGGAAGGGGCTCTGTCTCTGCCACTGCTTGCCTCGGGCCTAGAAACAAGAAGCTCCTGCAACTTAGGAGTCCAAGCTGGGTGCAGCCACAGCCTCCACATCTGCCTCTTTCCGCCAGGCCACCCTCACTCCTCCTGATCCTGGTGGCCTGACCCCTCAGCCTGCCATTCTGGTCTGCCCAAGCAAGACCGGTCTTAGAGTGCCAGCCTGGTAGTCTCACCTTCTGGATCTCCTCGGGGCTCAGCTTGGAGACATTGAGAATCTGCTGGGCCTCCTGGAGGCTGAGGCCAGACAGGTTGGAGGCAGCTGCAGACTGGTGTCCAGCACGTCCTCGAGCATCAGCTGCTGCCCGGCTGGCTGTATGGATACCGGGGTGAATGCTCAGCCCTCAGCGGCCCAAAGGTTCCCCTGGGCCTTCCACGTGGGCAGCTCAGCCCACCAGGTGCATGGGAGAAGATAGGTGCAGGGACCAGGGAGCATCCCTTCTCCAGGAGTGGGTTTTTTTGGGGACTGGATGGGGAACATATGAAGTGAGGACTGACCCCACTGGAGGAAGGGGCAGGTTCTGGTCCCCAAGACCATGAGATGTCCCTCTTCTCTCCCCTACCCCCTCATCCCAAGTGACAGCAAGTTGGGGAGCTTGAGGCTACAATGGGAAGTAGGATGAAGCTGCAGGTAGGAAGAGGCAGTAACAGCTCAGTTGAGACCTGGCTGCCCACCAGCTACCTAGGCCACAAAGCAGGTGGTTTGGGTGACCTCTTCCCTTTCAATGGCCCTAGAATCAGTAGCCATTAAGCTTTTTCTTAAAGGTCAAAGAGTAAGTATTTTAGGCTCTGCAGAAAAATTGAAGTCTGTGTTGTAATTACTTGACTCTGCCTTGTAAGCAACCAGAGGGTATGGCTGTGTTCCACTAAAACTTTATTTAAGAAAACAGGTGGCCAGGTGAACCAGCCTGCCAACTCCCGCCTCCCTGTTCATGTCAACCAGTTTCCCTTTCATGAGAATGTCCCAAAGTCCAACAATGTCCCTCACCCCCGGAAATGCCCCAGGCTGCCAGAGGGTCCCTGCATTCACTATGGGCCCAAGGTGAACGGCCATAGGTAGGAAAGGAACCCCCAGCCCAGGGGGAGCCAGGGGCTCAGGCTTACCTGCAAACTCCTGCCGCAGGGCCCGGGCAAAGGCCCTGCCCACCACCTGCACCCCCATCACAATAATCTGGGCCAGGTATTTGGCCTGTGGACAAAGCAGGTACCTGGTTAGCAGGCTGCATTCTCCAGAGATGGGACCCTGGAGAAGGCTGCCAAGTGGCTAGGTCTCTGAGGTAATGAATAATGAAGCACAAACAGCAGGCACAGGCAGCTCCTTCCAAAGTATCCTGATAAAGAACCTCTGCTCTGGGTGGCTTCAGAAGCAATACTATGGCCTAGATCCAGGACCAGGGGCTGGTCCCAGACCATTAACTCACCCTGCCATCCCAGGCCTTCTGTGCTTCTGAGATTGGCGGCTCCCAGCTTTCTTCAACCAGCAGGGAAACTCAGGTAGCCTGGAGCCACCTCAGTTCTCCCAAGATTATTCACCACCATTCCAATCAACACAACAGAAGTGAACAAGACTCTCCACCTTTAGGCAGCAAAAAGCCCAGGAGAGGGTCATTCAGACAAAGGTACCAAGGGCCAACTGCTGAGGGAGAGGACTGGCCACCAGTTCCTCCACTGGTTCAAACACATGCAGTCAGCTAAGCTCTGCTCAGCACCCGGCCTACAAGGATATACAGAAGCCAGCCATGCCCTCAGAGCTTCTCACACTGACCCAGCCCAGCAGGGAAAGCGTCTACAGTGGCGCAGCAGTTTTCTACCTAGAGATGGCGTGGTTCAATGCACCACGGAGGGACAGAGAGTCTCATGAAGCATGCCCAGGAGTGAAGAAAGGCAATGGAGGGAAGCCTCAGTATGAGATGGAAACTCTGGGAAAAGAGATTTCTACTGGGCTGGATTTTGAGGGCAGGCAGAATCACAATGGGAGTCCTGGGGCTTTCTAGGCACAGGGACCACGGCGAGTCCAACAGGACAAAGTGTAAAGGTTGTCCTGGGAGCAGCCAAAAGCACAGGGGACTTGTAAAGTCATTAGAGATAAGACTGAGAAGGTGGCTGAGATAGGAAACTGTACAGACCCGATTGGGAACAGAGATTACATACAGACAGCACAGGAAATGGCTCGGTGCGTGCAATGGTACAAAAGAGGGTGTGCAGAGGACCTGGAGAGCACTCACTGCAGGTCGACACTGCTTACAGGCACAACCCAGCGGTTTCCCTTTCTCTTCTTTGCCCTTGTTTGTTGTTAGATGTTCCGTCAGTCAATAAGTATCAACTGAGCCTGGGTGCCAGTCACTGTGCCAATCACATTCTAGTTACTGGGCCATTTAACCCAAAAACTCAAGACACCGAGGCACAGGGAGGTTTAATGATCAGCCTGAGGACAGGTCTAGTACTCAAGGGGAAGGTGGGCAGGAAATTCCAAATCGGTGCTATTAGCCATGGCATCTCCAGGCTGCCCACCCCACATAGGATCCTGCAGGGAGGGCAACTGAGCAACCTGACAAGGATCAAGGACACAACCCAGAGGCCAAAGAAGGGCTCGTCAGATTGCAGTGGAATCTGGACTCCAGAACTGGCCTGGTTTGTCTTCCAATGAACCTGCCCTCACGGGCAGGGTGGGATGTTTGTTCTGGGACATTAGCAGTAATTAATAAATGGAAGTGGGTTTGGATTTCACAAGTAAGTAGAAATTTCATTAAGTCCTGGATTTCACACCAGAAAGCAAAGCTCAGCGAAGACTCGCCCCAGTGATCAAAGGGAGGGGGCAGGGCTGCAGCCAGCTGTACTGTGGGTGTCAAGACAAATAATGGATGCACTGCAGGTTGGGAAGTTGCCCAACTTCCCCCTCCGCCCCCAAAGCCCCTCCCAAGTGGGACAGGAGGTTCCCAAATGGGGTGCTGGTCCTGTGTGAGGTACGGAGAGGCTCAAAGACCAGTAGGTGACTTCAGAGGGTTCCGTGGGCCTGCACACCCTTCGGGCCTCAGACCATCCGTGCATCTGCCTGCCACACACCCGAGGGTGGCCCCACTGCTCTGCCCTTACTGCCCACAGACTTCTCAGCAGTGCTGGCTGCTGCTCAGTAATGAACGTTAAGAACAGAGAATGCAACTGCGCAGCACCCCCAGCCACTGCTGCAGGCTTCAAACCACCGTGGCCTGGTGGCCTGTCATTCCTGCCGCCAGAGCTCCATGGCTGCCCCATAGGCTGGAGTAGCCTGCGGTTTCAAAGGCCACCCCGGATGGCCAAGGGCGCTGCCTGGCTGGTCCACAAAGGTTCCTTTCGGAGGCCTCTCCAGGGGAGGAAGTGTGGCGTGTGGTCATACAGACAAGCTTTGGGATCAACTGTGTGCGAATCCCAGCTGCGTGCCTGGCACAAGCTCTCAGGTTCCCTCAGCCTGTTCCCTCACCTGTGAAATGTGGCCAACAATAGGGCTGTCAGGGATTCGATTAGATAATGCTTGCAAAATGCCCGGCCCAGAACCTGATGATACAGTAGGTGCTCAATAAATGTTGCTTTTCATTTATTACTCGTCTTTGTTTCACAAAGCTTGACAACGGTCAGACACTATGGAGTAACAGAGCTTTTCCCAATAAGGCAACTCATTTGACATATCTGCTGATTCCTCAGGGGAGAAGCCTGCAAAAAGCCAGGTGACATGCCAAGGGCAGTGAGAAGCAGTGTGGAAGAGGAGGGAGAGGGCTGCTTTGGAGCTATAACCTGGACTCCTGGCTTGTCTTCTTGTTAGCTGTGTGGCCCTGGGCAAATTACTCAACCTCTCTAAACCTCACTTTTCTTATCTGCAAAATGGGGAAAACAGTATCTTCCTCTTGGGGGGCTGCAAAGTCCTCAGGAGGCAATCCACATAAAACCAACTGGCAGTCAGCAGCAGGTTCAAAGTGGTCCAACAGCTGTCTTTGCTTCTGGACCAGTTCCTGCTTGTCTAGAGATCATCCACCTATTCAGTACCCAGTGCCAGCTGTGGATCAGCCATGCTCAGAGTTCTGCCAGTGACAAGAAGTGATGAAGACAGCCACTGGCTAAGGCCTGTCCTAGAAAGTCCCAAAACATCCCATAGTCCACTGACTGACACTTGGGCCTGAAGACTCTGGACAAGAACAACGGCATCCAACGCAGGCCAAGCTGCCAGTCAAGGAGCAGAGGTCAGAGCCACAGGCCGGCAAGCCGGGGACCCACTGTGGATGACACACATGGTTTCTCATCTGAGGACCAAAGCTCTGCAGCTGGGGCAGAAGAGCACAGGCAAGCATTAGGGGACACTCAGGAACGTGGCTTATCTCATGTTAAGCACATCAAGAAAGAAAACTGCTTTCAGACAGAACCATGTGCAATGTTCCCTTCAAAGCCCAGTTCCAGGCTCTTCGGTCGGTGGGCAGAGACTGCCACTGAGACTAACCCCCTTCTCAAGGAGGCACTGAGATGGGAGGGGGGCTTTGTTGACCCAGAGCCCCTGCAAACCGCCGTTGGCATCACAACTAGGCAGGAGGGCAGTCAGGACCATGGTATGCCTGGGGGCCCCGCCTATGGCTGGCACAGCAGCCCAACTGGTATTTGAATGAATGTGATAACCAGGTCACCATCCGCAAAAACTCTATGCCCCCAGACAGGGTTTCCAAATTCCTGTTGCTACCGCTCCCTCTGCTGGAGTGCTTCGGCCATCCCCCAACACACACAACTCTCCACTGCCTGCAAAATCAGTCCACTTCTCGGCCGGACATTCTCAGCTCTGTGGCTACAAACAACTTCTCTGCTTTTCTCTCCCCTCACCTCTCTCTGCCCTGCGGCCCTATCATCTACTTCTAAATCAGCTAGCTCTCTTACCTGTTTTACCCCAATGTCTCCCAATTCACACACCATACAGGTCACTCTTCTCAAGTATTCAATGATTTTAGCGTATTCACAAACTCTGTAAATACACTAAAAAGTACAGAATATTACTAGTTCCAGAACGTTTTCATCACCCCCCGAAACAATACCCATTAACCTTGAATGTCCTCCCTACTACTCTGATGCTCTGTCAAAACCCAACATCCTTCAAAACGGTACCGCTCCCCACCCCAGTGAAACCTTTCCAGAACACTATCTTTTCCTATTAATATGCTGTCGTACTTTACAGACTTGCCCGATTCTTCCTTTAGGATACAAACTCCTCCAGAGCAACATTTTACTTGGCTCTTGAGGGTAGCTCAGAGTTACACATGAGAGGGACCCGGTTCAAGGGTTCGTTGTAGGTCCTCAGAAAAACGGCAGCGACCGGACTCAACTCGTCTCTGAAACAGCTGAAGTGACCCTGAAGGAATCAAACTCCCTCAAATTCAGGGTCCTTCTCAGTGAAATGGGGACAAGGACAGTACTAATTTCATAAGCATTAAGTGAGAGAATCCACTAAGCCCTCAGCTCAGGGCCTGGCACTTGCAAGTTGTTAAGTTATCCTTATCATTGGTTAAGAAGTGGCTCCCCAAACCGACTGCCTCAATCACTTGGGGGAACTTCTAGAACCTCCGGGGATAGAGCTCAGGACACTGCATTTTTTTAAAAGGTCCCCAGGTGACATGTCGCAGCCAGTGTGGCCCAGGTCTGTGGATGGGCTCCAGGTGCCAATGGTACCGCAGAAACGCTCAGCTTTCGGTGTCGCGGGGCCTGGTCAAGCCCCAGGTGTGCCACTTCCTTGGCAAAGTCTCGGAGCCCGTTTCGTCAGCTTTCAAAACGGACAATAACAAGCGACACCATCAACTAGCTGCGGGCCCGCGCAGGGGCTCCCGGGCCGGACCTGGCCTCCCGCGGGGGCTGTGCGCACATGGCGACCGCCTCTGCTGGGTATTTTCCGGCCGGCTACGCCTGCCCTGCCTTCCGGTCAAGCGGCTCTCCGTGGCCCCGGGGCCGAAAGCGCCCGCCGAAGTCCTCCCGGCGCGACGCCCCAGGACCCCGGTTCCCGCCGGGCACGCAGCTGGTGCGCGGCGCCCACAGCCCGGCCGGAGCTCGCCGCCCCGGCCCCGAAACGGACTCCCTTCCCCGCCCCCCCCGAGCAGCACCCTACCCGGGGCTCACCATGGTGGTCGTTCCGCCCCGGAGTCGCGGGCTCCGGCTTCCTGGCCCCGCGGCTCCAACTCAAGGGCGGCCGGCGGGTCAGAGGTCAAGGGAGAGAGCGCGTGCGTGACGCCGCGCTAGGCATGCGCACTGTTCCCTCCAGGGGGCGGGGGGTATGTGGTGATGTAGTCAGTGGGCGGAGTCAGAGGCGGAGTCGGCCTCGGTCTCCGGCTCAGAAGACGACCGGGGGCGGGCGATGGGCGGTCCCAGGACCCAAGGTATCCCTCACGTTTATCCTGCTGCGCTAGATGCAGCAGCATAAATACATCTGTCAAATGCGGGGCAATTTCTTCCCTTCATTTTGCCAAAATATTTGGTACTAAAAGATAGGTAATAAACCTACAACACCCCACGAACATGAGTAGGATGCCAAAGTCTCACAAATATATAAGAAAACAGGAAACCTCAAAACAGGTTTCCTTCTAGGTTCCTTCTGCCTGGGAAGATCTCACTCTCTCCTCCAAGTTCTTGCTCAAGTGTCACCTTCTCAGTGAAGCCCACCCCGCTCCCCTACCAACGCTGCAACATGTCCTGCATTCTTTTGTGTTTTAGTAACGGCTTTGAGATAAAGTTCACTATTTTAAAGTGCAGTGCTTTTTAGTGTATTCACAGCTGTGCAACCACCACCACTAGAACACCAGAACATTTTCATCACCGCCCCAAAACATCCCTACCCATTAACAATCACTGCCCCTCCCCCAGCTCCTGGTGACCACTAAGCTTTGTCCTGTCCTATGGCTTTGTCTGTTCTTTTTTTAAGCTTTTATTTATTTGACAGAGAGAGCCAGAAAGCACAAGTGAGGGGAAGGAATGGCAGAGGCAGAGGGAGAAGCAGGCTCCCCAGTGAGCGAAGAGCCTGATGCAGGACTCGATCCCAGGACTCTGGGATCATGACCTGAGCCGAAGGCAGCCGCTTAACCTACTGAGCCATCTGGGCGCCCCTGGATTAGTCTGTTCTGAACAGCTCATGAAAGTGGAATCGTACTGTATGTGGCTTTTTTGTGTCTGGCTCTCAGTCCCCTCTATTTTCCCCCCCAGAGTTCTTAATCTTACTTACCACCTTCTGCCATATTATTATAATTCATTTATTTTATGTTCACTGTTTATAACCTGTTCCTTCCCACTAGAATGTGGATTCCTGGTGGACAGGACTTTTCTCTTTTCTCCAGTCTTGGACAGGTGGCTGGCACAGGGAAGGTACTCGACACGTGATTGCTGAATTAATGTTAAGTCAGGCTGCCTTGGACTATGTTTTGGACCACTGCCCTTTCCTCCAACGCTCCAAATTCTTTCTTCCCTCAGTGCAGTCGCTGCCCTTCCTTTTGTCTGAAATGTTCTTCTTGCGGCTCTGTGGGGCCTTCACGTCTCAGCTCTCATCTTAAAGGTCGCCCCTCAGACTGAACACCCTGCTCTCCCTGCATCTCAGCTGCTCCCTTTTCACATAATTTGTCCTCTTTTTTTTTTTTAAATGTTTTATTTATTTATTCATGAGAGTCAGAGAGAGAGAGAGAGAGAGAGAGAGGCAGAGGCAGAGGGAGAAGCAGGCTCCCACCTAGCAGGGAGCCCGATGTGGGACTCGATCCCAGGACCCTGGGATCATGACCTGAGCCGAAGGCAGACGCTCAACCATCTGAGCCACCCAGGTGCCCCTGTCCTCTTTTTTTAATTAAGTAATATCTATGCCCAACATGGGGCACGTTGAACTCACTACCTGAGATCAAGAGTTGCATGCACTACCAGCTGAACAAACCAGGTGCCCCTATTTTGTCTTCTTTACAGCTTTCTGCACAGTTTGCTTACTTGCACACGGTCTGGGTCCCCAGCACAGGAAGACTATAACAAGGGCCCCGAGAGGCCTTATCTCTCCTGTTCATTACTATGTCTACCACCCAGAGCACTGTCTATGTGCTGGATGAATGACTGAACTCACAGCAGCTGAAAAGGACTCAGGAGCAAAGTGAGACCTGGGACAAGGGGGAACCCAGAGCCAAAGTGCCCTCACCCATCCTCCTGTCCCCTTCCCCTTCCAGTCAGCCCAAAGACCACAGCAGCGCAAGAGGTGGCCAGGTTAGAAAAGTTTAATTGCTGAAAACATCCAGGGTATATTCAGGCCAGTCCCTGAGGGGTTCACACCCCCCTCGATTGGGCCATCAGCTCTGTAATGCCCCCTTCTCCTGGTTTCAAACCTGAGGAGGAGGGCAGCTGGTCCCTGGCCCCCGAGACTGATGCTGCTCCGAATGGCCTGGCAGGGAGCCAGCCCCCAAGGCTCTTGACTAGAAGTGGGCCAGCAGGCAAGATGGGATGGCGTGTAACAACTGAAGGTGCTGGGCGAAGCCAGCCCAGGCTGGGACCAGCCCAGGGGCGTGCTACTGACCCCCACTCCCACCCCACCCTACTGCCACGCCCCTGGCTCCACATGCTAGCAGGCAGCGGAGAAGCAGCCAGTCCCACAGAAAGCAGAGGTGCAGACAATCCACAGGAGTTGCAGCGGAGCCCAGAGGCCACGGAAGTGCCCAAGGCCCAGAGGAAGCCAGGGCTTTTGGGACAAGGTGTGCCAGGGCCAGGAGGCATCTTCCAGTTTGAGGGTGAAAAGTGAGGTGTGCAGGGGGCACCACACCAGGTGGTTCTAGGAGGTGGCAGCGGCCGGTGAGGCTAGAGGTAGCAGTGGGCAGGCTAGTCCTGGGGAGACAAACCGAGGGGGAGGGGGGTGAGGGGTCTGGGGAAGCGGGGTAACGTGGGCTGCAGGGGGAGGGAGGGGATGCCAGGGCCCTCTTATCTACTCACCCACTCGTCCTCATCCACGCCTTCGAAGGAGTCTTGGGGGAGCGGGTCCTCCCGGTTCCCCAGCTTGGCCACCATGGCATTTAGCAGCTAGGAGAGTGGACAGGAGAAGAGGTGGGAAGGGAATAGGACAGGGCTTCCAAGCCCAGGAGCACAGGATCTCACAGTTTGAACCCCGACACGCTTGTGAAGAGCCATGTTCATCAGAGCCCTGACAAAGTGGATGGTTCTCACAGGAAGAGCCACTCAGCAGAGATCAGGGTGCCCGAGGCAGATGGACACGCGGCACTGGGGTCACAGGGCAGCTCTCTCTGCACACTACCTCAGACGCTCAAATGGGCACCGGGGTCAAAACGCACTTGGGTCCAAAACCCTCGGCTCTGTTTGCGTTGGGCCAGGCGGGAGGGAGGCCTCTTTCTGCCCTTCCCTGCCCTTCCCTGAGTCCTGTGTCCTGTGGGTCAGCTTCAGGGCTCTGGAAGGTCTCCCCATCAAGCTGCCCAACCGAGAGACGGGAGGGGAGACACTGGCTCCTGCCCCAGCCTGGCTTGGACTAGAGAACTGGAGGGCAATCACCACGTGCCGCCAGGACCCCGTGCATGCCACAGTGACCAACCGCCTCCCAGGCCTACCTCCTCCTTCTTTTGCTGGTCTGACTTCTCTTCCAGGTAGAGTGCTGAGGGTGGGACCCGTCGGGCAGGGGCTTCACGGGGGGCCTGGCTCACTGGGGTGGGGGAGCGACAGCATCGGACATTAGCAAATCCCTCCAGTGTGGACTCCTTGCCCAACCCTTTGGCCCCATTCCCTAGGGAATCTTGTGGCAGAGACCCCAGAGGAGGCGACAATAGCTACCTCACCCTCTGTTCACAAGGCCTGTCGTGGGCACCCGGCAGTGTGTGTGCACACATGCGTGCATGTCAGGGGTGGGAAATGTGGTGGAAACACAGACCCTGGGCCCTGCCCTCAAAAGGCTCAGAGTCTGAACCTGGAAATGCAAATCCTCGGGAGTGCCGGAGGTTTCTGTGTGCCAGCAGGAACAGGGGATCTTGCCCCTTTGTCCAATCCCTACCCACTCCTGGGCTTCCTACTCACCACCCTCCAATTCCTCATCCTACCTGGGGTCATGCCGGCAGGCTGCAGGCTGATAAGCCGGGGCTGCCCATTAGCACCTCCCAGCCAGGCGCTGGCACTGAGCACAGGCTCCCAGCTCACGGCTGTGTCTGGGAAAACATCATCCTGGAAGAACTCTTTCTGTAGGGAAGGAGAAAGGAGCTACCCTGAGGCACCTACCAGAGACCCAGGGCACACCAGCATCCCCTGGGAAGGGGATAAGATAAGACCCAGGACCCAGGGCTGGGGTTTCTGCCAGTTTCAGAATCTCAGCAGAGTAAGGGGTACAGGTGCCCCAAAGAGCACTGAAATGGGACCGTTTGGTGACAGGGTCAGTCAGGCCTCAAAGCCCCTGAGAGGGGCTGGGAAGGGAGACTAGGTATTTGGGGTGCTGGGCCCCCAACCTCACCCTGACTCGGGGTAGCCGGAAGGCGACAGGCTCCAGGGAGGTCTGGCGAAGCCGTAGGCATCGGGCAAACTCTACTTCCCGCACGTCACATTCTGTCTTGGGCAGGAGGATGAAGCCCTGGGAGAACAGGGGATTCTGAGCTGACACCTGGGCCCTCACGGAGCGCCAGAACTATGGCATGTCCCCAAACCAGGGAGCTCTCTGGAGGAAAGATACCCTGATCGGCAGCCCTGATTATCGCCTCTTTCTATGGAGATTTCATGCTACCAACATAACTTGTTCAATGCAGAGCTGGGGAGACGCATGTGTTAGCACCATAGGGCATTTCCACTGACAGACCCCACGGATATAATAGATAAGCTCCACAGCACGAGTAACAGTAAAATCAGCTAAAATAATTAAGAAGTGATACCCTGGATGTTTGCTGCCCTGGCTTTTAATTTATTTGTAGGCTCATATAACTTAAGGCTTTATGGTTTAACCTTTAATAATGGTGGAGTTTAACGCAGGCACACCCTGGCCCAGTGACCGGCTGACCCCACAGGCCCCTGCACTTCCCCATCTGGCCAGGAGAGGGCGTGGGAGCCCTGTTCCCACAGATCAAGGAGGACCAGGGAGCGTCCCAGGCTCACCTTGTGTGGGTCAGGGGACGTGAAGCTATTGCACTCTAGGAAGAAAGGAGCCTCGGGGAGCAGCTCGTACAGGAACACGCGGGTGTCGCCCTGAGACGGGAGTGGTGAGAGTGAGGCGGCCAGCTAAAGCTGC